CGTGGCTCTCCCGAAATGCGGGGCTGGGCAACGGGAAGCCTCCTGACTTAGAAGGGAAGGCAACAAATAAAAACAGCCATTGCCTTTTAGAAAGAATCAGCTGCCGCGGTAAACCCCACCCAGGACAGCGACACTGTTTTTACCTCCGGAGCAATGAAGATTGGCGCCGTGGGCCCTAGACTTTGTGCTCAGGAAAGATTCAGCTGCTCCATATTCGCCTCCCATTGAACTCGTCTGCAGTCTCTAAAATGTAGGAAAACAGCCCGTCGTACAGGCTGCCCCAGCGATTGTAGGGCAGTAGCACAGGGAGAGAAGCTGGCACAAACTGTGCAGCCATGTGGACATTCGGTGTTTGAAAAAGCAATGGCCTACTGATGGCTGCTGTCAGTGGTGTTATTTCCAGGGCAGAGGTGCAGAGGATTTGGGGGCAGACACAAAGAAACACAAACCAAGGGGGCAGTTCCCAATCCCCTTGCAAAAGTTAAGGAGCAGTCTTGTACATGGCCTCGCACAGCTCGGTGCGCTGTGGAGTATGCTCTGTGCAAGAGGGAACGGGACGGTCACCTTCCTGGGGTCCCCTGACCCCAATTGTCTTTTCTGCTTGGTGCAGGGGGCTGGACCCAGTGATCCTCTGAGGTCCCTTCCAGGCCCTGACAATCTATGAATCTATGAGACTTTGCACTGGGTAGCGAGCCAGGCAGGCTTCTTTGCTCTGCACACCCTGTCTTGGGTGGAGGGGGAGGAAGGCAGGGGAGGTTTGCACCCTAAGACTAACAAAGTAGATGGACAGAGTAAGGCCTGCTGAGAATGATCCCTTACACCCTCTGCTAACTCAGCTGACAAGCTCAAATGTGAGTTTGGGGCTCTGCACCAGTCCGTGGTCTGCGAGCGAGGGAAGGAGAGGGATTGCTGGGATAGGAGGAATGTCTGGAATGAGCCTGCACGCCTCCCCGTGCCTCGCTGTGCGCAGGATCTGGTGGGTGACTAATGGCACGACAAGGTGGGGCTGCTTGCCTGGGTAAGACTTGGCGATGGGTGGTATCATTAAAAAGAGAGAGGAGAGCAGATTATTTTGAAACAGTGGAGCCTAGAGCTAAAGCAGATGATGGGAATCAGGGCTCCTGGGCTCTGCCATTGCCTCGCTTTGTAACCTTGAAAGAGTTTGTACGCTGTGTCCCTTAATCTATGAACTGGGCTTGCTAATGCTTACTGGGAAGCTGTGAGGCTCTATAAATAGTCATTAATGTTTAAAAGCACTTGGGGATCCCGAGGTGAAAGGCTCTGTAGAACTGCAAGCAATTACTGCCTGGTAATCATTGCTTGTTTAACATAGTTCTAGGGACTGGGGCCAGGATTTAGGGAACGTAATGAGACGGTGAGGCAGTCAAAGAGCTAAAATGCCTGAAAGCGTATCAGGTGGGAGAATCTGCCCTCTAGGACCCCGGCCTTGGTTGCGTGCTTTCTTACAGGCCTCTCACCTGTTTGGAGAAGAGAGAGTTCCCTCGGCAGTGCAAAGGCTGCTTTGACCGCTTACGTAGCAGCGCCCTGTGCATCCAGGTGTGTCAGGAGGACAGCTGGCTTACCTGCTGCAGCTGGAATCTGCAGAAATGCTCAGCAAGCCCCACAGCCCCCTCACCAGATGTGCTGAGGTCTTCCCCGTGTGGGTTTACAGAATCGGGCTCTTAAGTCTCTGCGAGTGGTTTGTAGCTAAACCACAGGGACTTTGTGCACTTTCAACAGTTGCAGTGGCCTAGAGGGAGTTTGGAAAACTTCTTGCTAAATTCCAAACTCCTTGTGCACATCACTGACCTCAGGCATGCTCTCTGCTCTGCAGCAGGCCAGCAAGCACAAAGAAACACAGCGCTGCTTGTGGCCCCATTGCAGAGCATGGGCACAGTGCATCTCAGGTGTAACCTCCTTGCATTTCAGCAGAGTTCACTGGCCCTGCTGGCATTACATCTGCAGTGTATTTAGCCCTAGATATGTATCCTGAAGTTAAATTGTCACTTTTCCAAATCGTAGACCTGTTCCACCTGTCCTTTTGCTAGAAGCTCAGTTTCTCTTTCCTCATTCTGCACGGTCTGGGTCTGAATAAATACACCACTTACTGTAGGCCTGCATTTTCAGGTGCTTCAGTCCATACACGGGTTTATAAGCCAGGCTTATTTATCAATATTCATGTTGTCTGTGCATGAGGCTTTATTGCTGATCCTTGGCATTGCATTTAGATTCTTTACACACTTATGTTTTCCACTTTTGCTGGGGAGTGTCAGTGGGGCCTGGCCAGGGTTTATGAATGTTGTGCTGAGGGGGCCTAGAGTCACGGCTGAGTTCCCATTGCATCCCATGCTCAATACTGTGAGAGAATCCTGCCCCAGCAACTTGCACTACAGATGAAGCAAAGGGTAGGAAAAAGGAAGGATTATTGTCCCCATGTTACAGATAGGAAAACTGAGACTCAGTGATCTGCCCCAAGGAATCTGGGGCAAAGCTGGGAACTACACCCAGGTCTCAGGAGTCTTAAGTCAGTGCCTTAGCCACCAGGCTGTCCTTCCTCTGAGAGTCAGCCTCCTGAGACCTCTGACGGTACAGGTGAATCTCATCCCTGTGTGCAGGTTGGCAAAGAGATGGAAAGACTTGCAAAACCAGAAATGTATCCCAGACCTTCTGAATCCTTGTTCTTCCCTCTGTCCACTGTCCTGCTCTTGTGGATGGCACTTTTTGACACTCCGTGCTGAAATGCAAAACCTGCCCAGTACCTGCAAACCATACATTTATCAATGTCAAACGAGATTTTCCTGGTTTTGACAGATTTTCCTTTCTAAAGACATCAAAGCATTCCCCCCAAAATAAGCACAAATGATTTGTTTTGGTGCCATGTCCTGTTTCCCTGGCACATGACACACTTGCCTTCTCTTTTTCATCTCATGGCAGCTACCCCACCTGGACTAGAAGCAGTGCAAAATATTTTTTCAAGCAGTAGCAGCATCTGGCTCTTTATATACCTTCCCTGGCCCTACTCTATAAGCAGCGCATTATTACCCAGGGGGTTCTTTTTTCCTTCTGATTTTAAGGAAATGAAAATTAACGATGGGTAATTGCTCATTGCTGCTTTCCCTCCCTCTACTTGGGCTGTCTTGTCTACCACCTGCTTCTCAACTACAGGCAATGCCAGCATTGGAGGGGGAGTCAGTCATTGCCCTTTAAAAGCTGCTACCCCCCTCTCCCCCCATGCATCTGAGAGGATGCTGGGCACATATCCTTTAGACTTAATCACTGCTTATGCAAACACATCAATTAAAAACAACACCTGCAATGGCAGTGATCCCAGTGGGCTGATAGATAACCAAGAAGGTTTGGCATCCTGTTGAAGTACCAGTCTCACTGGGGGTCTCCCACAATGTCACATGTTCCTTTTAATGGCATGCAAGTGAGGCTTGGGAAGCAGTGAAAAATGATAGCCTATATGACACAGTGTAAATTCATTTAAGGTGTGAGAAAGAGGCCACCTTTCCCCTGGGTCCTACGTTGTCCAGGCTTTTGCGCTGCAGGAGCCTCCTGTCCTGAGAGCAGCTGCAGCACGGGTCACTTGAGTGTTGAGATTTTGTTGTTTGAGGGAGGAACATGGGGGGCTGGCTCTACCGAATCCTCACTGTCCTCATCATTTGTGAAGTTGTTGCCATGCGACTAGAGACCCTGGTGTTTTCAGAGCACGTATCCATGAACATGTGAATTGCTGTGTGTTGGGCCAGGTACATACACAGATTTCTAACAGCAAACAGTATCAGTTAGAGTTGGGATTTTTTGGGCAAAACAGTTACAGCAGAAAAACCCTAGCACCGATACAGTTGTAGGGTTGCAGGAAAGCAGGGCTGGAAGGGACCTCGCACTCAAGGCAGCAGCGTCCCTAGCTAAATCGTTCCAGCATAAATGCTGCTTATACCTCTGGTATCCCCTTTATGCATCAAAGGCATTTATACGCATACCTTTTTGTCCTGCGACGCGCCAGAGGTCCACCGCTTTGGAACAGACTCGATTAATTGAGTCTGTTCCACCTGCAAGCTGATGTGAACTGCGCTGCACCACATGCAGTTGTACAAGTGGCAAAATGCACATCAGCGCACAGAAAATAGCGGCGGTGCTCTTTCAAACTAAAACATCTATGTGTTTTAGTTCAAAAGCGCACCACCGCCACTTTCTCAGATTTTCACCTCTTATACAACTGTAACCGATGCAGCGCCGGGCGCTTTTCAAAGTGCGTGGCGCTGCAGTGCTTGCATGTGTAAAAATGCCCCTAGAGACTATACTGGTATAAACTGCTTGACTGTGTCTGTTACTGGTTTAACTATAGCCGTACAATTAAAATGGTACAACTCTGGGTGCGAAGTAGGCCTTAGCCTTTTTTAATGTATTTCATTAGTGTCAGAAGGATGGAGATTTTTATAAGTCACTAATAACTTATTTGGGGCCACAAGTTTCTAGGGTTCAGGGGCACTTGAAATGGGAACTGATTTTCACAGGGTTTTCCCGAGTGCTCTCTGAAAAGCAGGTCCTTTTAACATGTCTCAAGTCAAGCCACAGAACTGGGGTGTCCAGAATCACTGGTCCCTTCTGAAAAGTTCATACTCTGGGGCCCTTACCGTGCAAACACTTAGTCCAGCGGTTCTCAAACTGTGGGTCGCAGCCCCAAATGGGATCACAACAGCAGCAGATGGGTTGGGGATGGAGGGCTGTGGGTTGGGACTGAGGAGCCATACTGAGGAAATGGGATCATGCTGAGGAAATAGGGCCATAAATGGGGTCATGCTGAGGAAAAGTTTGGGAAGCACTGAGTTAGGTGCTTAATTTTACACCTGTAAGTATTGACTGATTGATTCTAATTGGCCTGCTCATAGGCTTAAGAGTTAAGCACCTATAGTGTCAGGGATATGGTTTCAGTGAGATGTAGTTTGTCATCAGGTTTCTTAGCTTTTTCTAATCCTTTGCTTTCTTTCTTCTAGGATTATACCCCAGCTAGAGAGTCCCTGTGTGCAGGTCTCACCAACTGATCTGCCCGACTCAGATATTTCAGAGGCCACCAGGACATACTCGCAGGGATTGAGCCGCTATGACCTGGACGAGATTGATGCTTGTTGGCTGGAATATGTTAATATGGAGCTCAAGTTGATGGGTAGGTATTTGCGTCATTTTGCTGCTTCTCTGGGGTGTACCCATTAATTAATCATGGAAGATGGAAATTCCTGAGGACCTTAGGGCAGGAATCTCCTCTGTTCTGTTCAAAATGTGAGAGCTCCCCAGAAGAGATAATAGCAGAAGCTGAGCAGAGCTGAGCCCATGCGTTTCAACGGTCCTGTCTCATACAGCGGTTTAGGAACACTGAGATAAGTATAAATTTAGACTGAAGTGGGGAATGGCCGGAGATTTCTCCCAGTAGAGTGCGGAGGTTGGTTTGCAGGTAGAATCCAGTTCTCCCAAATCCCACAAGACCCTCTCCACCTTCATCTCCATTGCTAGACCTGTCTTCCTTTAACACTAGCAACATCAAAGTTATTTATCATAGATGTCCTGGTCACATGTTTGGGAGCTAAATTGACAAGTGGACTCAAAGGAAAGAAAAAGCACTTCTCATTCTGAATAGATAACTCTAAAGCAGAGGTGTCAAAGCTACGGCCCGTGGGCCAGGTCCTGTCGTAGGAGCCCTATCATCCATCTCCTGCTACAGTCTGTGGGTCTCAGTGGACCCATTGGCAGCACGTGGGGCGTGCCGGATGGCTCCAGCAGCCTCGTGCAGCACCCACCCTGGCCATTCCAGGACCATGCTGCATTCAGTGCCCATCCCTGCACACATCCTAGAGTGGCAGTGCATCTGCCACGTGTACCATAGCCGTGGGGAGGCCGCTTCAGGGGACCCAGCCCCAGAGCAGCTGTGCACTGTTCCTCTGCTCTGGGACCATGCTTCTTCATGGGCTGGCAACTCCAGGGGTGTGCTGACAACAGTGTCCACTGGGAATTGGCCTATTGGTGGCTTTGTTTGTCATCGGCAGATTTGTTAGTCCAGAAACTAGAACGTACAGTTGTCAGAGCTGAGTGAGATTTGCAGTCACTGCAGAGGGGGTTTTCCAGTCCTTGTTGGATGAGGTCTACAGTGTCATGGTTTCAGCCACTAAGAGAAGACCAGAAAATAAATTGCTAATAATAAAAGCATAGCCGCTCACCCTTTAGCAACAGTGGTAGGAATTCCCCAGGAGCGATACAAAGGTCTACAAGGGTGGGACCAGGTGTGGTACAAAACTCTTCCATAAACACACTCACTCATTGCTTAATAGCACATGTGCAGCCTTACGGTCCTTGGGCTACATTCTGTGTTTGTTCACCCTCCTGTGTACTGTGGTAGGGTCTCACAGACTAGAGGCTAGCTCAGGAGTTGCCCCCTGTGTTTGCTGATTGTTATTGTTTTCTGGGTTTTAGTAGGTCTCTGTTTCTTTGGCTGACCAGTGCCTTAGTAGCCAAATACCATGTCCTCATCACTGTGAACATAAGAACATTGTGGAGGTGCTTCTGGAGCTTGATTACTTACTTGTTAAATGTGCTACATCTTCTGCAGTCTCAAGAGTGAATCATAATTGTGCTTGCCTAATGTAACAGCCCCAGCTCTCTAAGTATCACACCCAGGTTTTGAAATGTTGCTGATCCGGCCAAGGGTTTTGTACAAGGCAAACAGAACTCTGCCCCAGGACTACCGCCGCTGTAGTACCCGTGCCAAAAGGTTGCTGTCTTTCTTCAGAGGGACCAAAGTTCCTGTCACTTCACCAATGACATTTCTGTTTCTGAGAAATCAGAATGGATATCACATGGTACTATGTTTCAAGAGCTCATAGAAAGTCACTGGCCAGTGATTGGGCTTCTGCAAGAATAAGTTGAGTGGGGTTCGACTTGACTTGCTTTACAATTGCTTTAAGGCAGGGTACGGTGGGTTGTGTGGGCTCTCAGATGTGGAGTTTCTGCATTAATTGTGACTTGCAAGACTGAGATGAAACCGTTTGTAGAGGGCGTGGAAGTGAAAGGTGCCAGCACCCTGCCAGAAGCCAGCTGTCTCAGTCACAAACAGTGCATTGTCTTGCATCATGAGTTATGTTAAATTTAAAAGACAGAAATTAAGAGCGGGGCTGGTTTGTAATAGTAATACACAGCTGAGGGCTGAGCAGAAGCCTTCAAAGACCACATCCAGAAGTGAATCACCATAGTGCTTTCCTTTGAGACCATGAGGTACATGCCCCAGCTTCCCCTAGAAATGTGCATGCTGCCTCTGCCGTGTCTTGTCCTTGCTGAACCAGGCAGGGGAAACCTGGGCTGAATTAGGTGGAGAAGCAGTGGACAACTAGGGCAGTGGTGTGCAACCTTGCAGCCCTGTGGGCCCAGTGAGTGGCACAGGACCAGTTCACAGGCCACATCAGACCCTGGAGGCTAGCATCAGGCCTGCCCACCTGGATTGCAGCCTTGGTTAGCCCTTACACACCAGGATTTGGGCCCTGTGCAACCTCTGCCTGGTCTTGCGTGGCAGAATCAGGCCCCATGCTGCCGCCATCCTGTCCTGGATGCCTGGAACAGGGCTGGTGCTGCTCCTGCCTGGCTCCATGCTTTGGGATGGGGCCCCATGCTGCCTCCATCTGGCCCCATGTTCCAGATTGGGGACTGTCTCCGGACCCCGTAATGGGTACAGAGGCCTACACGTACCGCCGGCCGCCATCCGCAAGTGGCCCACAGATTCCTGCGGACATCACTGCGTCCCTGAGGACATCAAATAGTCCCCATGTTCTGGGATCTGGCCCTAGGGTCCAGCACTGCTCCTGCCTGGCTCCAGCGTTTCCTCTAAGCTATGTGGTGTACGTGGCTGCACAGGTGCGCTCATGCCACGCTGCCAGGCGCGGCTGCGCACACCACACAGCTTAGAAGGAATACTGCTTGCCTCCTTATGCCAGGATCCAGCCTTGCATGCTAGGATTGGGCCCTGGGGCCCCTCACTGGCCCCACGAGGCCCCTCATGCTGGGATCAGGCCCTGAAGGCCAGATTTGAGCACCCCAGATTAAAGCATTGATCTTGGAGTCAGGAAATTACCTCTGCCGCGACTCTCTGTGACTTGAGCAAGCTGCTTTACCACTCTGTGCATCTTTCCTCCTCCGACTCCTTGTGAGTTTTGTGTTTGCAGGTGGAAAGGTCTTTGGGAGAAGGAAGTCTCTTACCTGGGGCTTTCACCATGCCCAGCAGAAGAGCCTTGGATTTCATCTGGAACCTCTGAGTGCTCCTGTAATAAATGAATAAATAATAGGAACAAACTCATGAAGTTCCAGTAGTGGTAGCACAGAGACACCAATCATCTGATCCATCAGGCTGATTCATCAGTCCATTTCTGTTTCTAAAAGAGCTCTGTAATTACTGTGTTAGCCTTTAATATGCTGGGGAGGGAAAGGAATTTGAAAACAGCATTCAGTCTATGAATGTGATTTCCATGAGATTTGCTGAGACCAAAGCTCCAAATATGGATTCTGTTATCTCTTCCCCTCTCATTTCTGCCTCGGAGCTATGTCTAGTGCATTTTTCCAGTCACTTGAAAGAGAAATATATGCCTTAGATTAGTAATACTTCCAGCAGCATTCTGTAGGTAGCAAGTGTGGCTTAGACTAGAGGTTGATGTTCAGAATGGCAAGTCCAGAGGTCTTCTGGCTGTGCTACTGACTTGTGTTGGGGCCCTGGTCAAATCACTTTATCCCTTTGTTTGAGCTTTTCCATCTGTAAAGTAGGGAGAGTAATGCTTATCTACTTGCAGAAGTGTCCAGAAGAAATACATCAATGCACTGAGAACCTCATCTTGAGGGTCCTGTAGAGGGAAAAATACGATTATTGTTCTGACGTGGTGGGTTTTATGTGCTCACAAAACAAAATAAAACAAAACTACTGAGATGAGCAGGTGAGAAGACAGAAATTAAGAGCAGGGCTGGTTTGTGAGCAGGTGAGAAGACTTGTGCAGCAAACTCAGAATGACAAAAATAATCTGCATGTGTGTAATAACGCTTCTCTGTCTGTGTTTTATTCTTCAAAAGCGGGCAGGCATGATTACCACCATTCTAAAGGCAGGACAAGTCATTCAGCAGGTCAGCGGCAGCATTCGGATTAGAAACCAGCTCCTTTGACTCCTAGTAGGATCCCCATTTCAGTAGATCGCAGGATGCAGGCACTTGTTTGAAGACAATCCATACATAGAACTTTCTCCCAGATGGATACTGGGATATCTGAACTAGGTTTGTTCATTTCTCAGCCCACTAGCACAATCTACCTGGAGAATCGTAGCCTGCCCTGTGATTCAGAGACGGTGGCTGAAATCAGATGATGTCCCTTAGCCTAAGGAGATTTGCAGAAGTTTAAAATGCCACCTGGGACACAGCGGCGTGTTTGTCCCCAGATGCTGTACGGTGATAGGTCACGGACAGGATGTCTCATACACAAAGCATTTAATGACAAAGAAAGAGCACGATCTGTGACTGGCTCTTAAGGAATCATAGGTGGTAGAGACGGAAAGTACCTAGTAGATCATCTAGTCTATTCCTCTGCCATTGGACTATTGTTCCATGTAGGTATGCCTTAATGCCTTCTCCAGGCTTGTTTTAGATGACCCTAGAGATGCAATTTTTATCAGTGAGATCAAATAAACCTCCCAAATAGCAAACAGCTCTTGGTAATTTGCTGGATGCTTTCTGAGTTAAGTAAGTATTTTTCCTGAAAAAAAAAAAAAGATTCATCGTTAAAATATAAAGTATATTAATGAATGACGTAAAAAGCCTGAAGTCAGTTTAAAAACATTTTTTCAGTAACACGTGCTAGTAACCAACCACCGTTCTCAGTAGAAATGTACTGTTCTGCTAGCTGATAAAGATAAACTGAACATTTAAGCGTGTCTGAATGTTTTATTTGTTGCTGCTGCAATGTGAGATAATAAAGAAAGTGGGTCCAAAGTAATTTGGATCAAACGCTGAACCAGATTTGTGTACAGGACTTTATAAGACAGCACAGGACCTTCCTTTTAGGGAGAAGCCAGGCTATAAGTCTTCATTTTTTTATTAAGATTTCACGCTGTATATTGTGCGCTCAACTAAATCCAAGGCTATTGTAGGATT